ACTGGAGCGGGAACAGTCGGAAACAATCAGACACAAAACCAGGAATGGGGAAAAAACGGGAATGGGAACAGTGGGAGCGGGAACAGTCGGACTGGGAATGGGAACGTTTGGAGCGGGAACAGTCAGAAACAATCAGACACAGAACCGGGAATGGGGAAAACACAGGAATGGGAACAGTGGGAGCAGGAACAGCCAGAATTCCGGTCGGGAATGGGAACGTTTGGAGCGGGAACAGTCGGAAACAATCAGACACAGAACCGGGAATGGGGAAAACGCGGGAATGGGAACAACTGGAGCAGGAACAGTCGGGAACAGCCGGCATTCCGGTCGGGATTGGGAACGTTTGGAGCGGGAACAGTCGGAAATTGGACTGGGAATGGGAACAATTGGAGCAGGAACAGTCGGAAACAATCGGAGACAGAACCAGGAATGGGGAAAACACGGGAGTGGGAACAGCGGGAGCAGGAACAGCCAGAATTCCGGTCAGGAATGGGAATTTTTGGAGCGGGAACAGTCGGGAACAGCCAGAATTCCAGTCAGGAATGGGAATTTTTGGAGCGGGAAGAGTCGGGAACAGCCGGCACTGCGCCTGTTGCAGGCGCGGCTGTGGCTGCTGGGGCTGGGTTTCAGCCTGGCCTACGGCAGCATGTTCACCAAGATCTGGTGGGTGCACACGGTGTTCACCAAGAAGGACGACAAGAAGGACAAGCGGAAGGTCAGGAATTGTGTGGGGGGAAAAAAAAAAAAAAATTAAAAATTTTTTTAAAAAATTTCCCCGGGAAAAATTGTGGGAAGTTTGAGGAAGATTCCGGGAGAAAAAAAAAAAAATTTTGCCCTGGGTGGGGGGGGGAAATTGCAGAAAAATCCTGGGCAAAATCTCAGAAAATTCCTGGGAAAGTCCTGGAAAATTCCTGGGAAAATTCTAGAAAAATCCAGGCAAAATCCCTGGAAAATTCCATGGAAAATTCCGGAAAATTCCTGGGGAAATTCCTTGGAAAAATCCTGGGAAAATCTCAGAAAATTCCTGGGAAAATTCCTGGGAAAATCCCAGAAAATTTCTGACAAAGTCGAGGAAAATTCTGGGGAAAATTCCAGAAAAAAATTCTGTGAAAATTCCTGGGAGACTCCCAGAAAAATCCTGGGAAAATCCTGGGAAATTCCCTGGAAAGTTCCTGGGAAAATTCCTTGGAAAAATCCTGGGAAAATCTCAGAAAATTCCTGGGAAATTTCCTGGGAAAATTCCTGGGAAAATCCCAGAAAAATCC